TAAACTGACGCCATTCCATATCGCACTACACCTCAGTGTAGTGCCATTTTGTACCCTTATGCTATTTCACACTCCCTCCCACACCTGTTTCTATCTAACAGTACTGAGGGCTGCTGGCAAAGGGCAGGAGCAGATCAAGATCTCAGCGCTGCACACATCTCTCTTCTGAAAATGGCAAATGGGTGTTGTTAGGATGTATGCTGTATAATTACATCCAAAAGTCAAGCATGACCATATGGATGTGGAAATGGCTGATGGTGGTTAGCAGACGAAGAGGATAAAATTGATAATCATATACAGTAGGAGGAGCCTACATAAAACTATAGAACTACCTATAGCTATGTTAGATACCCACACTCACACACACTTAATGTTAAACCTTAAACACCCTCTCACTCAGTGGTGACCTGCAAAATACGCCCCTAAAACTAAGGATGGCTCGATCAAATACTTGGGAGGGGTGTTGGTCCAACACTAGTCAACATTTTAGGATATCCAAAAAGAAAATAGTAGCCTGTCTGATACGATACCTAAACCCAAATGCTCATCTTAATTTGCAACTTGCCATAAACAGGGACTCTAACGCCTCAGAAACAGCAAATCGCAGCATGTTGGGAGGAGAAAATAAGATATCAGACTGATATCGGTATTGGCAGGTGCTCCAAGTTGCAGTTTCGATATCAATATCAGATAGAAAAAAGTTGTATTCAGCCAGCCTTACCTAAAAACTGTCACTAAAATAATAATAGATTTACTAAGACTACACACATACAAACTGACACACACTGTAGCGCTCACTAAAGACAGGTTATTGAATACACAGCGCTTATGCTAAGCAGCAGATTCAGAGCTGGGGGATCTAGCGTGCAGCTCTTACACAGTCTGAGGAGGATGTAACAAACAGAAACCAGCAGATTAGTCACTACAGGAGGGAGCTTTCCTGGAGTTTAAATAAGGAATCTGACATCCCACATGAAAACTTCTCGAACACAAGCCAAGGTTGAAATTGGCCACTACAGTCTACTTAGGAAGTGAGAGTGTTTACTGGTGGAGCTGCTGGCCAAGATTTGAATACACTACTGTTGTGTTTCATTAAACGAGCACAAATCAAATTCTCTTGACAACTGCTCCTGAAGAGGTTACACAATGTATAGAGTCAGAGTTTCCCATCAGTTTGGCGTGTTTGGTGGGTGGGCTGATTTTAATCAAAGCGCTCAGTCAGAGTTGATTAGTCAGAGACAGACAGAGGGCAGAGTGGCTGATGATTCCAGAATGAATCTGTCACTATAAACTTTTACTACTGGACAATATAATATATCGACCTTGGAAAATTTTGATTAACAATACTGTTATCAGTATTGTTAGATCTGTGATTCATGGCTTTAAAAAAACATATACTATCAACCACAATAACATTTCCAGAAAGGTAATGGATGTTTCCAGAATGAGCACTGCAATGTTTGCTCCGTGCAACATCATAACTTTGGTTTACACAAGGAACGACAGTGATGTTTTGTCTGCTCCTCTTCTAATTGGCCTATAAGGCTTCACGGACAGTTTTATGTGACTACTTGTTGACATGGCAGGCTTTTGAAAGTACCAAACAGTAAACATCACGGTCAGGCAATAACCGAGGCCTCCAAAAGTCACAGACAATTGCTTTCTGATAAATGTATGTTATAATTATTGTGACAGTGCGATTCATAACTGACTCCCCATTTCACCGGGCTAATGAATCTTTGTTAAAGACCCTTAACCAAACCCAAGTGTATGTTAACCCTATGTTAGAACTAAAGGAGTACAGTGACTCTGATGAACTCAAATCAATTATTTGTTTAAATGGAAGTCAAAGTAATCAATTAGTTCAGAAGAGTACTGTTGGACGTACTCCATCCTCCACATCCTGCAGTGAAGGAGGAGGAGGCTAAAGGCTTCCTCTTCATAAATGACACCAGATTATCACGTCTACCATAATTCCCGGACTATTGAGTGCACCTGAATATGAGCCGCACCCACTAAATTTAAAAAGAAAAAAATAATTGTACATGTATAGGCTGCACAGGGGAGGCTTAGTGAAAATAAATATTAACCAACAAGAATCATTTGCGTGAGTGCTTTTTCTCTTCTTTAAAAAACAAAACTAGTTTTAGGATCATGTCCTTCAACATAAGTATGTCATTAACAGTGCACAATATCATATATTTGTCCTGGTTTTGTTTTCCTTTCTGAAAAGCATTTACACATCACCTGTGATACTTCATGAAAACAACGTTACGCCAATGGGAAGAAAACTATTTTAAGTTTTATTACAGTGAAACATATGTGTGAATTATTCACCATCGCCGTTTCTTTACAGCAGCTGATGCTCCTCGTCTGCTGGTGTTAATTAACGTGTTAATGAGAGAAGTGATGTGTGCATTTTAAACCTGCTGGGTATCTAAAGGTATTTTCAAGCTTTTTTTTTTTTTTTTAAAAAAAAGCAATGACTACCGCAGTGTTGACGTTCTTCTCCTAGTTTATTTGCCTTGGTTACGATCTTCAGGAACTTTTTGCAAGCAAAGCATATAAAGAATTATTGCCAAATGGCTTACTGCTTGGATTTTCAATGGGCATCTTCTAGGATCTACAAACAAGAAACACAGAGGTGGAGCAAAGCCCAAAAAAGCTACACTTTGCAAGCCTTGGGCCTTGATTTGAAATGGATCCTCTTCCAACATTTCAGTCATGTTTCTACCCTTTCAATCCCTGCCTATCAAGTACATCTTTTTTGCTATTCATTGCTCCTTCCTTGCCGAGTCCCCTTCTGGTTCACTATATTAGGTTTATTTGGAACACTTTCCATTTCTTTATCTCTGTTCTCTATTACAGACTCCCCGGCCCATTCCCTCTATCTCACCGTTCCATGACTGCACTATTGCCTTTATAAGAGATTGTGTTTTCTCATATGGGACTGTTTGCCAGTTTGCCATCTCCATGCTACTGGAAAAATCAATCACTCATCAAAAGAAAACGATTACCAATAAAACCGTTTGGCTAAGCTCTGTTTGTGTCTCGCTGTGCCAAATTGTTTAAAACCAGTCTGGTGGAAAATAAAATATAATTTTTAATTAATTATTAATATTATAAAATAATAATAAATCACAAAAATTTAATTTGTGTCTAGTCACAATAATCTGTTTACTCAGTATTTACAATACTGAGGTGTCACCCAATCGTTAAAGTAAAGGGTGCGAAAATACCAGTTCAGTGTATGTAAGGAGGTGAGAGAAAACAGAGGAAGTAGAGAAGAGGCCCGGGAGAGAAAGTGAGGATGGAGGTGTTGTTCTCAGGTGGCTTAGAGCGGATATTTTAAGTCTTATCTGTCACCTACAGGTCTCTGCTTATTAAAGAACTAGGAAGAGTCAGAGCAGAATGTGAGGTGAGAGTAATGCAAGGTGTGAGTGTGGATGTGTCCATGTGTGTGTCTGGTTGTATGTGTGCGTGTTTGTTTTTTCTGTGCAAGGAAAAAAAACAAGTCTAATCCAAATGCAGCGATACCAGGACCTTCGACGAACGCACTTGGTGTTGATAAAACCAGCAGCAGCAAGATAAAAATAAATAAATAAAAACTACTACATAAAAATATTTTTAAAAAACACACTGAGCTCTACTATCTGAATTCTATGGCAACAGTGTTCACAGCTTCTCAGCACTTGTACCCTACACAAGTTCTTATAGCAAAAAAAAAAAAAAAAAACAATTTTTGTGGACGGTAAAAACGTTCAAAACATTTGCGTTCTATGCATACAAATACTTTGTATGTAAATTCTTGGGAATTGAACAACATGTCAAAACAGAATGAGAACGACCAAGGAGCTACACTGACATATTTTGGGAAGTCAAAATGTGTCATTCACTGCTGCAGGGTTGAAACCTTGCTCTGAATAACACTAAAATGACTCTATCTGGAACCCTAGATCTGTTAAATTCAAACTAATATTAAACTATGGTATACAAGGTTCCGACAAATTGGTGTCACCCTTTTCTTTCATATTCAAAATTAGCCAATTTGTTATGGGTTGTTACGGTTTGAAGCTGCCAGCAATGCAGCACAAGGGAGACTCCCTTCCGGTGTAGCAGGTTTATTTACGATGTGCAAAAAATACAGAAACTCACAGGAGCAAGGACAAACATGGTCTTCTCCAACACATGGAGTGCAAACACTGAGCCCGAATAGGCTCGAACAAACGAACAGTAATATAAAGCAATTCAAAAATAGCAGTTAATTAACTCAGTCTCATTGGGAGAACTGTATTAAAAATAGAAGAAATGTACTGGCTGGAAGATAATACATGGTCTGCTAAGTAAAGAAATGCACAGTACCACCCTAGTTTTTTTAATAATACATGAAGCTTAAAAAAAAAAGAAAAGAAAAGAAATGTAACTAAGGTGGAAACATCTGAGTAGGGGGCTAAATCAGTTCTGTTTCAACTATGCTGTGAGAACACTTTTATTCTAGCCTTTTTTTAACAGTAAATATTAAACATTAGCGAAACCTCTTATTTTTTCCATGTGATTTCATTTTATCTACGATCCCCATATTGTACCCTAGGTCCTACAAAAAAGGAAAAGGTAAAGAAGTAGTAACTGAGTCAACAAAGTAAATACTGAAAGTACAGAAGGCATTTCCCATTAACATTCAGTAGAGCTTCATTCTCAAAAAACACATTCTTCATTATTAATAATTTATCACAACTTGCTCTAAATGTGTGATTGATTCTATTGACTGTGTTCTAAGTTTGCTGTTACACAACTTGGCTTTGCTTCCAAGCATAAAGGAAAAAATGATTTAATCATCTTTTGCACATTTATTGAACTAAGCCCACTGGAAACCAAAAGCAGAATTCAGTATTTTTGATGTGAAATACAGTGTGATTAAATCTCTCAGTGTAACGTGGTCTACTTACATTTGATCAAAACCATATCAAAAAATGACACCCTTGTGTAAATGTATGCCTTACCTGCTGTAGTCAGGCACAGCTCCTCATCACTGTTATCCTGGCAGTTGTCCTGGCCGTTACACAAGAAGCTGCGGTCCACACAGTGACCATTTCGACACTTGAAGCGAGACTCTGAGCACACCAGCGGGTTGCCTGCTGTGGTTAAGTCATAGGAGAGGTCAAAGGTGAAGCGGTGGCTCAGACCACAGAAATGTTTACATTCCAAATTAAGTTGAGCCACAGAAATTATTTCAAATTCTATTATATATCAATCAATAGTACTGTGTGGCCCTGATGTCTGCAAGTTTTTAAAACCCGCTAATACCACCTGTATTGCTTTGATATCAACACATGTATTAAGAAACATTGGGGAAATGTAATGATTAAAAAATCGAATGTAGTTTATGTAAAATTGAAAGAAAAAAAATGCCTGTGTTCTGGTATAATCTTTGCAAAATTAGGCAAATTACCTAAGGGGTGATCCAAACTATTACAGAGAATCTGGTGGGTGTTTGGAGCTCAGACCCATTTAAATAGTTAGATTAGATTTGTGAGTGTAGGCCCAGCAGGCTAGTAACAAAGCCCACTGTACGATCCACTGCTGGGAAAAAACTGTCCTCAACTTCCAAAAGTTGTATTGACTTTACTTAAGCTTATGCGTCAGTCATTTAAACTAGTGAAGTTTGAGAATGGACTAAATTAAAAGAGAAGGTTTAACTTGTGAACTTCTTAGGTTTTTTAATCTGCCCTATAAACTTTTGCAATCCAATACTGCATACAGTTATATATACAGTTCAGGCTTTGCTCTGTTGTTTTATTTCTCCATCTAATGCGAGAAAAAAAACGGACAACACATATACGTAGATCTGTCATACAAAAGGTTATCAGTTTGCACGTTTCTAGATACTGTACGTCATATTCATTTCAGTGTTATTTCCGCCTCATTATTTCTATATTTCCATTTTTCCACACAAAAAAGCCAGTGTTTAACATGAAAAAGAAGAGAAATACATACACACATACATACAGTATATATATGTGAGTGTATGTATATATATATTTATATCTCTATATATTTATATATACATATATTATATCTATATTTGTGGAACAGAATAAATTAGATGATTAAATATTTTTGTACAATCATCTAGTTATAAATCCTTCAATAAATGCCACGTTTTGGAAAAGTCAGCCACAACACGGAACCCTAGAGATAGATGTTGCTAAAAGTTTTCTTTTTCAACTCTGCTGAAAATGCTGGCCCGGGGACCTTCTGGTCCTCAGAGTCTCTGTTTTTCCTCCCTTCCTAGACCCCATGGATGCTGTTTCTGGATCCAGGACCCCTCCATACTCCTGCCTCATCTGTATCATCCGTATTGAAAACTAGAACTGATTGATTGTTTTGCTACTTCCTGCCTACTCGTCCTGGGTGAGGATCCCCTCCTCTGTCTGTCACCCTGATGTTTCTTCCTTTTTTATTAACCCTATTAAGGGTTTTTCTTGGGAGTTGTTCCTCAGCCGATGCCCATAAGGGCAGGGGTCGCTTACCACTGTTACCACGTCTTTCTTTTTTTTGTTTCTTGCTCTCTTGATATTTTAATGGTTTAAACCACTGTAAAGCACATTGAGTTTGCCTTGTGTATGAAATGTCATACACAAGGCAAACTCAAAGTCTTAATGTTTAATGGAAAAATACTGATATTACATTTTTTATTACTGGTTCAGGGACATGCTGAGTGGGACGCTGATTTTTACAATATGTGGCTCACATAAACAGGCATCGCAAATGGTTTTTAAGCATAAGGTTAAGTACAGCTTATGACCTTAACACATGGGGTTGTGCCTATAATACATTGGTTAGCGATGTATTATTACATTACCATGAGTAGTTACAGTAATAACGGTAAGAACCAGGGGGACAGTGCATCTCTGCAGTGAGTCTAACGACAGTGTGAGAAAGATTGCCTTTATTGGATTTGGTGGGTGAGTGATACTCACTGCAGTTTTCCTCGTCACTCCCGTCAGGACAGTCGCTAAAGCCGTTGCAGCGGAATCGTCCGATGATGCAGTGAAAGCCATTAGCACAGGCAAAGAACGTGGGAGCACACTTTGACTTGACCTTAGCTGTAAATAGATTGGAGGTGGGATTGAGGGGGAGAGGAAAGATTAGTCTGTGGCTGATGAAAGGAGCTTTATGATCAATTCATTTTCTTACATGTGACGGACAATAAGCCGCCAACACGGATGAGTTTACTATGGCAGCAGACAAAACAAGATGCTAAAATTAAAATGATGTGATGGTTCACACAGTACAACAGCTGCCGCGTTGTGAAAAGTTTGTATGTTTTTGCCTTGTTTTGTTCTGCACTGCTAATCTTCAATTATGGTTGCCAAGTCCAATTACGCTAGGCCACTTTGGGCTTGTTTTGTCATTTTAATTGACTATTTTGAAAACCCACAGTTTGGGTTTGTTAATTATATGAAGTAATCACTTTATTTTGATTGCAGAATTGTTCCTACTTGTCAAGTTTCTGGCTTAAACAGAAATGCCTTGTTCACCTGGATTCAAACTCTGTCCACATGAGCAACATGGCAACGACACGCCCACTCTACCACCGACTGGCTAGTGGTCGCTGGTTAGAATTCACGCCAACCAGAGAAATAAAATGAACTCTCTCCTCCACCTCTACTCTAATTACAGATAACACTGCAAATGATGAGTGAATAGACTTTTTACTAACTATGCCAGGAATTAATTGTACAAAATATGGAAAAAATAATATAAAGACTGGGATAAAAATACAATGTTCAGAGACTGAATCTGACACATTAATCTTCAGGGACAAAAAAATTAAACAAAAGAAAAATTAAAAATCAGGACAACAAAGCTTATTAAATTGCTTAAAGATTATTTTTTTATAACCTTCTTCCTTTCTCCTTTCTCTCTTTTTGTTCTTCCTGTCTTTCTTTTTACACTTTTTACAGTTGTGATTTCTACACTCTTGGAAGTGCAAACAGCTCCTCTGCCTAGAAACAAGAACAACTTCTGTCACCGGATTATAGATACAGAGACAGGGAGAGAAGGAAAGGGTGATGCAAAAGAAAGGAAAATTAAAAAAAAAAAACAGTAATGCAGTGTTATGAAGCCAATTATCATAGACAGTTTACAGTGAGGGATGGAGATTACGGATAAAACACTGATATATTTAAAGCTTCTGTTCGAACTAGAAAAAAGAACAAGACAGAAAAAGATTTTTCAAGATTTCATCTTTATAGACCGTATACAATGATGGATGGATGGATGCCATGCCACTTATTTCATGGAATCGCAATACTACTGGCTTGTGACTTTGAGTCCTCAATATTTTAAATACTAATGAAGCATCACTACATTCTTCTATATCTAATTTCTAAAAGTATAAATGTTATTAGTTTGACACATAACTGTAGACATTTTAGGGATTTATTCTAGTTGACGCCCTATCAGAACCAAAGTGGACTGAGATAATCTATAAATTACATTATATGTCTATTTGAGTATGTTTATTTGAAGTCAGGAATAGGCAAACTACGGTTCACAGCCCAACCAGTAGACAGTCCCTGTCACAGGGAATACATGGCTTTTATTCTGAAATAAAATGACTGATTTTTAATTAAATCAGTCTGTACATGATGACACAATAATAATAATAATAATACAATTAATAAGTTAATAATCCAGTAACTAAACTTAGCTAAACTTAGCATTTCTGTTGTAGCAGAGCTCACTGACAAAAAAGAAAAGAAAAGCCATGAATACCAGTTTGGATGCTGCCAAAACGGTAATTAAAGGAGTTAAATTTAACTGGAAGATTGTTATTGTTTATAATGAACAGTACAGGATTGGGAAAAAACACTAAAATTCACACACAAGATGGGGGTTCTCAGACCTTTTTGGGTCTGTACTAAACAAAACTGGTCTTCTGATAGTCTGGCATTGTGCCGTCTCAAATGCCAAGGGCACACAATTTTTCCTTCTACACTATACTGTGGTCGGCTGATTTATGAGCTCTTTCAAGCTGTGGTGATTATGTGTAGCAAGGGGGAGGGCCAGGCATAAAAACCACTAAGGTTTTTCGTCCCATTTTCACAATGAAATGCAATCAGATTCAATGTGGGAGAAGGTGGAATGGCGCCCAATCTCACCCACAGTCTGGGAGGCTTTTGTTTACCTGCACAGCAGAGGCCCACACAGCACTTGAAGCCTATTTTACATAGTGTATCACAACCATTATGTCCAGAGAGAAAATGGTTTGACATTTAGTTACATGTAGGAAAGCTACCAAACAAACTATTTTAATGGGATAATGCAAATTACCTGATAAAAAGAAAAAAGAAAAGAAAATGTCATGTGTATTCTTTGTTATAGGGACTGGAATTTCTCTTATAGTTCAAGGTATATTTCAGTTTTTTAGAAGTGTTTTTAGAAGTAATAAAAAAATGTCCCAAAAACATATATAAATATCAAGTCTTTTACAGTGATTCTTTCATTATTTATTGCTGTGACCTTTGTAGGGTCGTGAGGCGCGAAGTGCAAAAGGCGGCGGCAGGGTACACTCTAGACCACATGTGTCAAACTCAGGCCCGGTGTGTCATTATATTTGGCCCACGAGATCATATCAAATGTGTGGCTTGTCAGTTTGTGTAGAACCATATTTGGCAGTAGACACAGTTCTATGTCATTGCAACTAATCGGTTAACTGTATATTAGAACTTAAATTAGAACTTGCAGGAGACGTCCGTAGCCTGCGGTGAACTGGTACGATTGTCAGCACAAAGTTAACCAATCTGCTAGCTGATTATCTTAAATCTTTCATAGGGCACCAAAAAAGTTTTTTTTTTCTTTTTTTTTTTTTAAAGTACAACATTTTTCTCTGTCATTGATCTTGGAACTGCTGTCTTGTCGGAGGGAAGCACTTATTGCTGACATTTCTCATTCAAAGCCTCATTACCATTTCCCCTGGCCAGAATTCATTTGATCTTAATTTCGTTTTCCAGATCGACGCAAAAGTCAAACCAAGGGCAAACTCAAGAGAAAGACTCATATTGTAGAGATAAGGATTACTTAAGATAGAACTCAGGTACTCGACTTTGGGGGATTAACAATGCTGAGCAGGTTTCTACACAAGATGAACCTATTTGATAATTCTGTTGTTTTTCAACTCTTTTCCCAAGTTTTAGTTCAACTTGTACTTATACTCATTACTCAGTACTCATCTTTACAACTAACACACTGTTTCCTGTCTTAACTTCACTTTCACTTTGGTTTGAGCTGTTTTGTTGCCACATTTTATACCCTGCTGTAAAATTAGCAAATGTTTAGTGAATTAGCTTGTGTGTTCAAATTGAAATTTAAGTGAGAAAAAAAATAAAATTATACACAATTTCAGGACCTGACACCAAAGGTTAGTAACACTTTCCAAAATCAAGTACCCAGACTATGTGTGGTAACCTATATTTTATAGTAAAATAACCCAAGTTTGAGCATTTTACAATTTAACAGAATTTGAACCTTTTATTTAGATACTTTTAACTTGCGATATGCACAAAATATTGAATTGACATAGAAAATAAACGTATCAAGACTTACTCCTCCTTATTGTTTTTTCTACGTTGCTTCTGCCTGTGGTACTCTTGAACACTTTTTGACTTCTTTTCTTTTAATCTCTACTTGTTTTCAGACACCAACTTAATGATGCTGAAACCCCATTGGTTGTCTTTCTTCACCTACAGTATATCAACAATGGCTGGCATTAGACTTCAGTGTATAATAAAGTAGACCTAACTAATCTATTATTTAAATAGTTGGCTAATACTTTAATATTTGATTACAAACAATTTAAATAATTAGCTGTTGCAGCCCTGTGGTGCTTCTGTGCAATTTGCACCATGGTGCCCTTCTTCAACCGTTTTTCCTATCTTCCCTGGAGAGCAGAATAACTTGTTTAGCACAGGTAGTCTGAGTCATGATGGGCATACAGTACTGGGAGAAAATATATACCAGAAAGACCATAATGTACAGAAAACAGGAGGGAACAAGTTGTGGGGAATGAGTAGGGACAGCAAGTGACTTCAAAGGTTTCTGTGACCTTGTTGAAAAAAAATCAGTGGAGTAATGGAGTACGCAGGAGGAGCAGAAGTTTTAGACTAGAGGGCTTAGGGATCGCCATAGTGACGCTGTACATTTCACTTTCTAAGCCAATTGGACAATTCATTAACATCTGGTCTGCAAAAAGTGGAGCTTCCTTTATTTTAAGGCTAATCACTGCAACTTGAACGATCTGTCAATACCTAAACCATCTTTCCTCCTCCAGCATACTGCAAGCTGGCGTTTCTGAGGCGAAAGTGTCCCTGTTTACGTCATCGTGCAAAGTTAAGTTGAGGATGTGGGCTTAGTTATCGGACCGGGCTATAGTTGTTTTTTCTGTCCTTTATGTCCGTTATCCTGAAATATTTACCAATATATAGTATTGTCTCAAGCCATTCCTATCATTTATACATCATTTGCATTTTGAAGATAAAGAAAGTAAGCAGAAGATACATTTGCAGAATATAATGGATTTTTTCAACATTTTCCATTAAAAGGAATGGAAGCACAACAAAGAGGAGAGGCAGAGAGTGATTTGTCGGATAGAAGGTCCACAGCAGCGTTTCTCAGAGAAAATTTCTGCTGAAATTGATTTGTTTGTCTAGGAGGAACACTGTGTCTCAAAACAAAAATCTTTTCAACATTAAAGATTTGAAAAACACATGTTAGCTTTATTTAAGTTTAATTATTTTAATAATATAATATAATATAATATAATAAATAAGCGATAAGCGGATGAAAATGGATGGATGGATATAATAATAATAATATATTATAATAATGTATTATAATATAATAATGATAATAATGATTAAATGGTAATGATATTAACTTAGTTTTGAAAATTGTATAAATTTTAAAATATCGATAATTGCTTTATTATCCCTGTTTAACTCCTCAAGCACAGATTTATTTCATCCTGTTTTTACTGTTCTGTCTTAAGCAGGAGGGTGACTCTTTAATATTCTAATGATCTTATAAACATCAGAACTGACAAATATTCCAGCTTAAAGCAAATGGCTGTTTCTTATAATTAAAACATTAATAAAAATATTGTAGCACGCAACAAAAAGCCAAAATCTTCCAAATCGTATATGTCCAAAAGTAGAACAACAAGGTGAACAAATGTTCAGTCCTGCAAATGGAGTACAACATTTCCTTTTCCTTTCTATTTCAACTTGTATGTTCATATGTAATGTCACCTCACTCAAAATCTCATCCCAACTAAATATCTCTCTTTTTTAGCCGCAGTGCCAAGACAAAAAAGCTAATCCTGGTATTGAGGCCCAGGGAGCACAGTCAGCTCTGCTCTCTGTCACTGTCCACAGAGTGGGGTTATCCACACCAGACAGTGGGACAGTGCATCTTGAGCAATTACTCAGCAGTATATCTAAGATTCCATTCTCTAAGACTCATCAGAACATTCATATAGTGTTCTCACACAGCACACTCAGGGATTCTGTCAAAACAGTTCTATTTTTTTAAACCCAAATTCAGTTGCATTTAGGCAGAGCGATACAGAGGTTACACTCCATTAAAATTGAACACCATCAAAAGGATTTAAAGGCAGCATCAGGCTCACGGAGAAGGGCTTTAAGACAATAAGCTGAATCTTCAAAGCAATCAGACTGAGGTCAAAACTTTGCTTCCCTTCTCTCAGTCCAGACAGTTATCTAAGTATATTTACATTGACTTAAATTGGTCCTCGTGCAAGAAAGGGCCACAGGGAGAAAATGAGTAAGGGACAAAGGCTGATAGAATAAATGGCATAGAGATAATAAAGGCTCAAACACATCAACAATAATATACCTGCCACTGATTGATTCATCCTTAAATTAATCATTAAAACCCAAATTACTGTGCATCTACCTCTACTCTGAAAGACACTGATCATAATGATAGATCCGCAGGTGGAAAAATACCAGTATGTATGTTGACTTTCAACATTTCTGACGTTCTGACGTGTTACAGGGGCTATTTACTTTACAGAAAACCGGATGGATGAAAATGTTGCGAGGTACATAAGTAAGTAATACACCGAGTTACAATGTCTGTCCCGGCACACACAACAGTAGGCTTTTGCTCTTGGCAGCAAGAAGAGAAAGCTCCGAAGGCAAAAGATACATTCCAATACATCCAGTTAAGTTAAAAAAAAAAAAAAAAAACAACCACCAGGGGTCTAACAGGACTGCAGATTGGAGCTCATCTACATACTGTATGATACCAACTGCGGTCTTCTTTCTAAAAACAAAGATGTGCTAGAGAAATTCAAAAAAAAAAAAAAATCATGTTAGTGTTCACTTTGGTCATTGGTCAGTTTTACCACTGGGCAGAAGCAGTGGCTTATAAAACAGACAGAAGGAATAATAACACCCTGTGATGATCAACATTTCCCTGCCTCAATGGAATGCAATTACAGATGACAATACAAATATATCACTAAATAATCTGCATAAAAATGCAGTACTTTAGATAATTCTCAGAGTATTTGCTACTTAACCACACTATTGGAATAATGGACGTAAAATAGGAAACGTCCATAATGGTGTGTGCATTCCCACTGTAGTTAGGATTAGCAACTATTATTGTACACATAATGCAGGGACAAAGTTTCAATTTTTCCAGAGGCTTCTCCCATAATACATACACTGACAGATATCCTGCTGTGGCCACCATAATGAGCTTTCCTCTCATCTTCTTTTCTCTTCCTAAATCCATCTTTTCAACTCCTTCAGTCTGCTGCCAAGGAATCTCGCTAAAACAGAGGTATCACCTGACAACACAACCGCCCTTATTCAAGGATAATAGGCCCTATTTTGTCAGAATAAATATTGAAGCTTTTGACCAGTAGAGACATTTTGCGCTTTTAAAAAGCATATGAATACGTGTTACATTCAGTGAAGTGAACCTTCGATGTCATCTGGTTCCCTCACATTAACCCAGCAGAGTAGCTCTTTTCCAATGGGTAAATATAGCAAAGACAGGCTGAGTAATTTGCTTTGTGCTTAACTGGTAGTGGGCACAAATGCAGGATTAAATGGCACTTAATCTCTATAACTGTCTGAAGAGACATCAAAAACAAATGGACGATTGGACAGTGAAATCTTAAGTGTACTTACGACATCCTTTCTCGTCACTCTTATCAAAGCAATCAGGGAGTCCATCGCACTGCCACCCGCCTGGGACACACTTCCCATCTCCACACATGAAGTTTCCAGGGATGTTGCACTCTGTTGTGAAGTTATTCCCTGGAAGCAGCTGACTCTCTGAATGACAAACAGGAAGACAACAAAAATGGAATAGGTCTATTAGAATTCTTCTTATGTAAAAATATCAGACCGTTACAGTGGCATTTTATAGGGCAGCAAATAAAGTCAACACCTTAGTAATGGAATACTCATAATATCTTCCCCCGATGCGCTATTCATAGTCATCTCAACCCATAGGCAAATAAAGAAAAGATGAGCCCATGAATGCAGAGGAGGTTATTTAGTGTAAACAGTAGTGCGGGAAATCGTGGCAATATTTTAATTAGGAAAATACTTGCATTGAAAAGTAAGTAAAGCACAGACACAAACACACTGGTAATCTGCGTAAATGTCTAATTATTATTATAAAAGTTTTAATTAAGTATTGAGAAGTAAATCTTACTTAAATTACAGTAAACAAAAAAAACAGACAACAATGCAAAAATATAAAGTCTTATAGAAAGACATCAAGGTTTTACTTGATCACATGATTAAAGATTCGGTTGTCATGATCTAGCCAATCCAGCTCCCAGTAACCGCCAGACTGCAGCAGTAACCAGACCTACTTACTTCCTCTGCTCATATCC